GGTTCGAGGTTGCTGAGTTTTGTTTTAAAAAAATTTGCCTTTTGGAAAAGTTGATGTTTATTGTTGGACCGATTCAACTACTGTTCTATCCTGGATTGGTAGAGAAGATATGTGGAAACCATTTGTTTGGAATAGGGTAAAAGAAATACGTACTCTCACCAGAAAGGAAGATTGGTATTATGTTGCAGGGAGTTTGAATCCTGCCGATCTTGTTTCGAGAGGTTGTTCTCCTAAAAAGCTTTTACAATCTTCTTGGTGGGAAGGACCGAGTTGGTTATTGAATGTTTCCAAGTTGAGGAAGAATTAGTATCTAAGGAAAAAAGGAACACCCTTTCTTCATTATTAAATGCTGAAGTTGATTATTCAGTATTTTTCAGATATTTTTCTAAGTATTCACAGATCGTGAATCTTTTAGGCTGGATAAGGAGGTTTATGTATAATTGTTTAAACAAGAATAAGAGAAGGCAGGAAGGGTATTTATTAAAGCAAGAGAGGGACGAAGCTGAAAAATTTATCATAAAATGTATTCAGAAAGAAAGTTTTAAAGGTGTGGACGATAGGGATATTGTATGTTTGCATCCTTTTTTAGATTCCGATAGTATTATAAGAATTAAAACTAGGATTCTTCAAAGGGACGATTCAGTACATTTTTTGACTCCTATTTTGTTACCCGGTCAGCACCCAGTAGTTCAAAGAATGGTATATCAAATTCATTGTAATAATGGTCATGCTGGTGTGCAAACATTACTAAGTATTTTAAGGGAAAATTTTTGGATTGTTAAGGGTAGGAAAAATATTAGGAGAATTTTATTGAAGTGTACCGTTTGTCGTAGATTTGATTCTAAAAAATTCGATACCCCTTCTGTTGTTTTACCTAGAGATAGAGTGAAAAATGCAAGGGCATTTGAAATTGTTGGAGTTGACCTGACTGGACCTTTATTTTTGAAGAATGGTGATAAGGTTTGGGTGTGTCTTTTTACATGAAGTGTTTATAGAGCTGTTCATTTAGAGGTTGTTTTAAGTTGTTCAACAGAAAGTTTTTTGAATTGTTTGAGGAGGTTTATAGCAAGGCGAGGCCGTCCTTCCATAATATACTCCGACAACGGTACTAATTTTGTAGGATGTGAAAATATTTTAAGTTCTTTAGATTGGGATAATATTCATCAGTATTCTTCTGTTGAAAAAATAGAGTGGAGATTTAACCCGCCAGCTGCTGCATGGTGGGGTGGGTTTTGGGAAAGACTGATGAGGATTTTAAAACAAATTTTAAGGAAAGTTTTAGGTAAATCTAGTTTAAATTATGAAGAGATATCAACTGTTATTTGCGATTGTGAAGCTATTATGAATTCAAGACCGTTAACTTATACTTACAGCAGCAATAAAGATTTGTTACCATTAACACCTGCAATGTTCATTCAAGATATTGCAGAGAATCAAGTTCCTGATTTAGATAAAGCTGAATCAGTTTCTCTGCAAAAACATTTAAAACGTAAGCAACATTTAGTTGAGTGTATTAGGAAAAGATTTAGGAATGAATACTTAGGGCAATTAGTATTTTCTAATAAAAAGTTAGGGACAAGATCAATAACCAAAGGTGTAGTTATTTTAATTGAAAGTGAAAAATCTAAAAAAATAGATTGGCCTTTGGGTATTATTCAAGAGGTTGTTATTGGAAAGGATGGAAAAGTACGTATGGTAACAGTGAAGACATCGAAAGGAATTCTTAGTAGACCTGTTCAGAGACTCTATCCATTAGAAGTTTTTGCCGATGACGAATCTGAATACTTGAAAGAAGTATATGACATTTTGGATAATAACACCGATTTACCGAAACAAGGAAATGAAGAATTGTCGGATGATGAGTTGTCAGCGGCACCCACTCCGAGAAAACCCGTGAAGACTACTAGGTGTGGGCGCGAAATTAAAAAGGTCGACAGATATGGCTATTGAGTCTTCTTTACCAAGATCAAGACTCATGGTGGGAGAATGTTAAAACTGAATCATATTTTTATTTTGTAACATTCAGTATATGTTTTTGTTAACTTGATTCCTTTGATTATATTTGTCAATATGATATATGTTTTAGAAGTATCTTTTCAATAAAAAGTCAAATCGATTTTTTAATATCTGGTTTTTTATAAGTTTTACTGTTTCTGGTTCTATTCCATATTTGGATCATTTTTGAAAATATATTTGAACGGTTAGTTCATTTTGTATTTTACACCCCCTATCCCCAGTACAAAAGGGGTAGACGAAGTCCCGCTCGTGTACACCTTTAAGCCTAAGCTTAAGGGGTATCATTAAATATTAACTTTTTTGGAAAAATTCACTTATGACACTTTCGTCATCCAACGGTGAAGTTAAATGAAAAAATGGTGGAGATTTACGACATTTGACAACTGACATATGATGGAAGACACGTAGTTACAATGATGGTTGAGCTAATAATAATTAAATTTGACATCAGTTAAATTGAATATGTTAAATTAGTTTTGTGACTAATTCTATAATATAAATTTAAATAATTTGACTTTGGTGTCTTGATAGGATGTCCAAGACTTTGGAGAGGCCACAAATAAGCTCTGCTGGTGTTATGAAGTTAGAGCGACATTTGATTTTTTAAAAAAGAAGAATTTGACATTAGATTGAGGTTAAGGAAATTTATAATAAATATGAATTTTTTAAAAAAGGGGGCTATTATACAGGGTAGCTGTTAAAGATGGAACCAAACCTATAGTGCTTAAACGGTTTAACATACAAAACCTAAAATTTCAGAATTTCAACTAAATACATTTGCTCATATTTTAGCATAAAAATTATTTTTTTTATAATTACAAAATTTTAAGCATGGCCGCCATCTTGATTTTTTAAAATAATATCCTTTCTGTTCACGTGTTTAAACCCCATGTGTGATACATTTTTGTAATCAGGGTGTTAAACCCTTTCAATTGGTATATCACATGACCTATGTTGCAATTTAAAAAAATCAAGATAGCGGCCATGCTTAAAATTTTGTAATTATAAGAAAAATAATTTTTGGGTTAAAATATGCGCAAATATATTTAGTTGAAATTCTAAAATTTTGGATTTTGTATGTTGAACCGTTTAAGCACTATAGGTTTGGTTCCATCTTTAACAGCTACCCTGTATATATTATTAAAAGTAAAAAGTTGAAGGATTTACAAAGGATTTAGGAAACTTGTAAGGATGATAGGATTCATTGTAGTTGTTGAATTGAAAATACTAGAAGGTTAATCTGGAAAAGGTAGGCTTATATGTAGGTTGTAATTGATCATTTAAACAAACCACATCTGGGTTATTAATATGTTGATGAATGTAGTACATTTCAAGTAAGTCCAGCTTAATGCCTTTGGGGCATTGGATAAGAAGAGAGGCGTTATCTGGAAAAGTGAAGTTATGTTTAGTATAGAGAACATGATCAGCAAATGTAGAATTGGTAACTGAAATATTCGAGGATTTATATGTTGATAGTTTTGTAATGTTCTAAAATTCGGGTTTCTGTCTTTCTTCCTGACTGGCTGACATTGCAATCATTACAATTTAGTAGATATACCCCTGGTTTATGGAAAGTGGGTACAAGATCTTTATTCCGTACTAGAAGTAAGTAAAGTGAGTTGGTACTTTTAAAGGCTGTTTATGTTGAATTTTCTGAATATTTTAGCTAGTTCATATGACACACGGCCCAAGAAAGGAATATAACCAGAATAAACCTTAGAAACAATGGAATTAGAAGAATTAAGTGAGATGGTGGGATAGGACAATCTAAATTTATTGAAAAATCTGAAATACATTTTGTTGAGAAGCTCTAAGGGAAAACCATTGTTGATAGCAAGTTGTTTAATTAAATCTATCTCTTTATTAAAGTTTGATTCTGACAGAGGGATGGTGAAAGCTCTATGTAGAAAACTATTAAAGGAAGCTTTTTTGTGTGACAAAGGGTGGCATGAGTCGAATGGTATAAGGGTATCTGTAGTGGTAGCTTTTCTATATATAACAAACTGTAATCTATTGTTTATTGTGTCTTTGGTAATAAATAAATCTAGAAACGGTATAGTGTTATTTTCAAATTCTACAGTGAAATTTATACGGGGATGTAAGGTATTTATGTAAGTAAAGAAGGAATCAAACTGTGCTAAGGAACCCTTAAAAAGCATAAGTATGTCGTCTACATATCGTTGGTAAAAGATTATTTTGTCAGAAAATGGATTGTTTAGAATAAGTTTTTCTTCAATATATATAATAAATTTATGTGGTCGACAGACTTTGAGCTTTTTACTTCCCTTTAATCTACTTCGGACCACTTTGAGATATGGATAATATTTGGAATTTAAAAAATAATTAATTTAGGTGTGACATTTTGACTTTCTATCTACATTTTACTATTACCAATTTCTGACATCACTGTCAGCTATAGGGTAATGCCCCTCTTCTAACCTACAAATTAGTCACTACCTATTTCTCTGTAATAATAGTTTATTCTAAGACACTATTTAAGGTATAAAAAATTAACTTACCTTGAATTGAAACAAAATTTCACTAAAAGTACGCTTAAAATTAATCTGTCCTTCTTAACAAATCTACTAAGGAAATCCGTTAAAACGCGGGTAACAATAAAGTGACATAATAAAATCTACTCACAGTAAATGACAGTTTGGTGTAAGAAATCAAGGATCAACATAATAGTAGTTCAAATGACTAATAACCGCACTCAGTGTTGTCAGAACTTAGAAGTTTTTCTTATTTTTTCATATTTTCTATAAAATTGTCAGCTATTGGGGTATGTCAGAAATGGGTTCCATTACCTTAATATTTTTTTACCTGAATGGTGCAAAATGTGTTTCCGTGCAATCTGGTTACAATTTTAAATTTTTTTCGTTGCTTTGTGTTATTTTGCGTTGATATATTGATTTTAATTGTTTATAAAATGTATGTATGTTAATGATTGAAGTAAATTATAAGAATTCATATTTTTGTTTTAGGCCAAGTTGGACCGAACAATTCTTCACAACTTTATCCAGCTGAGAAGCGATTTTAAAGTTCAAAAACAGACAATTCTCAAAGTCTAGCTTTAATGTATTTTTTTTTTTTTTTGTTTAAAACATTTTATATTTATGTACAAAATAATAAAAATTAAGAAACTAAACCATTTTTATCATTGTAATAAGTTTAGCAAAGGACGAACTACTACTTGCATCGCTAATTCGGTAATAATTATAGAAAACAGTTCAAAAATTATTTACCTAATTTTCGATGAGACAAAAGGTACTAAAAGATACCAAGATATATGAAGTAAGAAAACACTAAATCAATTTTATCTATGTAACAGCAGTACCACCATTAGCAATACAGCGTAACTACCACATTATATCGAAAAATAAGGAGTTGCTAAGTATATAGTAAATTCTCCTAATAAACATTGTGAAATTATTGAATACGAGAAGAGACGCCCAATGCTCTCTACATACAGCAAGAGGGCCAGGGTAAAGACTCAATTATTAACACTTATCGTTCTCCCTGAAAACAAGTTAAAATATCTAGGGGTTTATATGGATACATATCTTAAATAGAGAAAAAAACAACCGTTGTATCAGAAATAGTATGGAAAGTAAATTCCATACATGAAAAGTGAAACTAAGGTTCTTTCGTTCGCTGTTGGTGCAGTGTCCAACAGTGTAAATTGCACCAGTTTTACCACCTTATTTACCTAGTTTACTTCTCTCCTTATTCCTTATACACTTGTTGAGTGTAATTCACTTCTGCCAAATAGCTGGTGAAGGAAGTATCCACCAGTGGACATTACAACGCCGATCGAAAGGTTAGTAGATTTTACAACGGGCCAATCGAAAGGTATGGTGTCCGTTGGTGTAGTTCTTTCCTATCCAAAGGAACGAACGAAGGAACCTGTGTCGAAGCTCATGCGCATAACCACAGGATAAAGAACAAATCAGAAAAGAAACATAGGGCTAAAACAGGAACCTAGCAACCGAAGCCACACATTCTTCATGGTGGAGCATTGTCAAAATTGAACCGTAGATTTGTTACTTGTTCGAAGTGCAACAGTGCACACTTTTATAGCAGATGAACGAAGCTGTCACTGTTGTCGCTGTTAGAAAATCAATATTTTTTTTCCTGTCGTGTCTTTATTTGTCGTTTTGGATTTTTGGTTGTTTTTAGCGAATATTCTGATAAATTTTACGTTTTTTTAGTGGTTTATTTTTAGTTTTTGTTGATGTTTTTAATTATGGAGTTGTTAATTTAAGACTTTATTGTACGTAATAAGATTAGGTTTATAAACAATGCCGCGTCAAAGAGGAGGAGGATATACTTGTATTTATCGTGGATGTACCTCGAGAACAGGTGGCAAAGAAGGATTGTTCACTCTTGTGAAAGATCCAGTGAGGTAGGTATGAAACCTTGAGGGTGAAATAGGAATTGACCTTGCCATAACATGGTAGTACAATGATTGTATGTATTTTACAGACTTTGAATTGTGGCTTAAGGCAGCAAATAGAGAGAACTTATTGGGAAATGGTATTGAAGACTTAAGTAAAAATTACAAAATTTGTGAACTACACTTCCAGGATAAATTCGTTTATCAGTCAGGAACAAGAAAGCGATTATTTGCAAACATTTCCAACAGTATTTCCCCATTTAGAACCTACTAAAAGAGTCACAGTTTTGCAAGGTAAATAAATACAATTTATAGTTAAATGTTACAAAAAGTTTGCTACTCGTCTTGTCATTTTTTTACATTACATTTAGTAGTTTAAAAAATAAAATGATAAGTACTCAACCCATACATTCCATTTTGTAGAATTACCTCGGAGGCAAACTGCACTATGTCGACATAAAACAACTTATGCAAATTAAAATAAAGTAGTTTTAGTAGTTAGGTTAGTAAAAAATATAAATATTGTGACAATAAATGGATGTCTAAATGCATATCTAGTTGAAATTTAATAATTTAACAACATTCAAACTTCTGTAATAAAAAGTTGACTAGAATGACAGTGCAGTTTACCTCCTAGGCACAGAAATATATTCACATTTTATAAAATTATTTTAAATTTCATCTGGCTAAAAAGTGTGACTCAAACATTTAATGATGCACCTTCTTGACACTAGTTCATCTGATAAAAATTTGGTTTCTCTTTCTTTTTTTAGAGGAATTTGTTGTTCATGGCGAAGAAGGCAAAGATAATTTGTGTCTACCCTCAACTTCAGCAGAAGTAGAATTTATTGAACAAGTGCATAGTCAACCATCTGTTTCTCTACCTTGTGTAACAGCACAAATTCAAACGAGTAATTTGTTATCATCAAACACTCCAAGAAAGCTGAGACTGCGACTGAAGATAGCAACGTTGAGAAAACGTTTGTTTGGTGCAAAAAGAAGAAAAATAATTACTCATTATTTAATATTTTTTTATAAGTACCGTTTATATAATTATTGTATATTTTTGTTGTATATTAGGATATACCTATTTTAATAAAGCTACTTATCTATGTATTATAAATTAGGCTTGCTCTATAAATCTGTGTAAACAATTTTAATTATTTGAATTTTTAAACAATTCTATTTTAATAAAATACGTGCAAGTTATATAAAGAAATTTTGCCATATCACATAAATAATAGTGACGTTGTACAGATATCATATTTCATGTAGATAATTCTTGTTAACATTAGATTCATTCTTGCTTTAACCTCTGTCGAGTAAACCACTATTCCGTTGTACAATAAAAATAAAGTTTTGTTTTTAAAAATAAGTTTTAATACTAAAATAACTTAACTGGCGCAGTCAGTAGGATAGTTCGCAGTTCGATTTTGTGAAGCCACGGCATCGAGACCGATTCCAATTGAACGTGAGTTTTAACTCTTTGGCAACCAAACCTACCCGGAAACCGCTGGCCCCCTTCAGAAGTTGGTAGCAGAATCACCGCAGGGACAACTACTGGTAAGTACCGAGTTTTCCTATTGCATTATCCTTAGTTTAGTTAAAATAGGTAAATTTTCCTGGTTAGAAGATTTATTCTACTATAGGTTAAGTGAATGAATTTTGAAATAGAAGAATTGATTGCTAATTTTAATAATCTAGTACGAATTAACGAAACTTGCGAAGAAAACAATTTAATAAATAACGAAATGGCTCAAAATCAAAATAATGAAATTAATATGCAAATGCTTAAGTTAACCGTAGATCTAATTCAGACTTACGATGGTAATCCATCTGCACTAATGCAGTTTATTGGAGATTGTCAATTTTTAGTAGATTCATATGATAATATTCGCGATGTAGTTTTACATAATTATATTTTTAGGGTGATTCGTTCAAAGTTAGTAGGTAGTGCACGTCAATTAGTTAGTAGGAGAACAGAATTAAATAATTGGAATTTATTAAAGAACGCTCTAGAACAAAGTTTTGGAGACAAGAGATCTTTAGAATGCCTAGAGCAGGATCTGTTAATGGCTAAACCATTAAAACATGAACCTATTCTAGAATTCGCAAAAAGACTACAGGTTTTAAGAAGCCAATTGATCGAAAGAGTAAATAGTTTTTCGGAACAAGAAATGAATGCTAATACTAAAGAAATTTATCGTAGACAATATGACCAAATGTCACTTAGAACTTTAATTAGAAATTTGACAGGACGTTTACAACATACTATTAGAATTAAAAACCCCGATACTATAGAAACCGCTATTGCTCATATTGTTGAGGAAGAAAATTTTTATTATGCTCAAAATAATATTAAAACTCAAAACAATTCTACACAAAACCTAACATACCAAAAACAATTTAATAATCATAATGCAAAAAATCAACATAACGTCAAAACTTATGCAACGCCTAATAATAATTATCAAAACATGGGTTATACAGCTAACCCACAATACTCAACCTTTAATTTACCAGTACCTGAACGAAATTTTCATACAAACCCCCAACATCAAATTCCCCCATCTTTTAATGCAAATCAAAACCAAAATTTTAATCAATTTCCGAGACAACCTATCCAAGTTCAACCACGACAAATTAATAGACAATTCCCAACGAACAGACAAGTATTTGGACCACCTAAAAACGCATTTGCACCCACAGGAAGAATTCCTCAAAATGACCCTGAACCTATGTCAACAACATACTTTTAGAAACAATCAATCACGTAACAATTATTTTAAACCAAACGGTCCCCGAAATTTTAATTCTCAAGAATTACACCAAATTGAAACTAAAGTTAATACAGAAAATAATGTTCAAACTCCAAATAAATCAAATCTATATACTGACAATAATAACCAAGAAAGTTACGACTTGAATGACGTTGCTTCTAATGACGAAAATTTTTGGATACTAGGCCAGAATCAGCTAAACACGTAATAAATGAAATATTTTTAGACATAAATACTTCTGAATTACCTTTTATTAAAATTGAAAATCCTCCGTTAAAACTTTTGGTGGACTCCGGTAGCATGCAATCAATATTAAATCCAGGTATCGCCGAAACGTACTTTCCTGATACTATTTATCATGAAACGACATTTATAAAAATAGTCGTAGGTCAAAAGGAAGCAAAATTTAAAGCCGACATACCGGCATTTACAGAATTAAAATCATCTTCTACAATACCATTCATATTATTCCAATTTCATAATCACTTCGACGGACTTATTGGTCTAAATGTAATAAAAAATCTTAAATTATGCCTAGACTTTGAAAATAATATCTTAAAAAATAAAAATACGCAAATTCCCATATTTTATAATTTAAATAGAAAACGTTTTAATATATCAGTTGATTCCCATGAAATTGCCGCAATCAAAGTTCCTGTAAATTATTATTCCGGAGAAGTTATCGTGCCGGCAATGCAACTTGATACTCTTTATCTTCCAGAAACATTAACAGTTGTAGAACACGGTTTTGCAAAAACCGAGATTATTAATAACACTGATAAACGCGTAGAAGTAGAGTTGAAAGAACCTTTGCAAGTGATACCTTTAAACAGCTTTCATAAACAAAATTTTGAATTTTATCGTGTAGAAGATTTTTTAAATAGTACGGAAGCAAAATGCTTAAACGAGAAAATAGAAATAAATATGCTAGACAACGACTCAATTT